CTATGAAACAATTTTATAATGCCTAAAGAGGACAAAATGAAATCATTGAATTATATAAATGATATTTTAAATTCGCTTCCAAATTCATTTTCTCTTTTTATTTATTCTATCATAATTATCATCATCGTTTGGATATTAAAATGTTAGTGAGAAGTTTTCCTGGTAAATTTCGAAAATTTTTGGAAAAAATTGTTCGTCGAGCATTGAATTCGATCAGTAAAAGTTCTGATATTGAAAATTCTCATACGAATATTCATTTTCTTCGCCAACATCGAAATGAATTTATTCCGGTCTGTATTGCAATCATCTGTTTCATACGGTTCATGATCTGGAAGATTAGTCGAGTAAGTTATTCATGTGAAAAAAGATTAGTCGATTAAATTTTTCATGTGAAATATTTGAATTGAAATTTATGAAAGATTAACTCGTCTATTCAATCACATCATGACTGGTTATAATATTATCAATTGTGCCATATTTCACCATTTTAAATATCTTCAAATCAATTAATTCTTCTTCTAGAAATGATTATTCTTCAAAGCATGAAATGAAATACCATTAAACAAAAAGTTCCACCAATTACTTCATTAATTTTTATTTATTTATCTCTTAAAGAAATTAAAATATCACGATGAAAAAAAAAATTAAAGCTTATTTAATGTGCATCATAAAAATTGCTTATGAAATAATATCAAATCAATTAATTACTCATTAAACTTACCGATTAATGGTTGCGTTTTAGAAAATGAATTATCACATTCGACACATCGGTCAGCAGTATCCATTGCCAACTTCATCTAACAAAATGACCAAAATTTTAATGCCTCTCCAATCTGTTGACAATATGTCAATTTAATACAATTCCTCCATTCATTTTGCTATGTATTTAATTAGGACGGTCAAGCAAAATTGTTGTTGTGGTCATTTAACGTTAACATTATTAACATTACGATGAGAATCTCTGCGATAGGATTATGCAAAGAGATTGAAATTTGTGGAAAATCAGAGATGAAAAGCAACTGATGAAAGATGGTGACCAATAAATTTAATTCAAAATTCGGGCATATATCATTTGATTTCCATTCCTTCAACTATCATTTTCCGTCTTTCCGTTGCAATAATTTTTTTTTTGTTATACTTAAAAAGGAAATGAATGAATGATAAATTTTTTTGTCTACCTGTTTTAAAATTACATCGAGTTCTTATCAAACTAATGAGACGGTAAAACAATATATCTATCTTTCTCTGTCAATATGCTTACAATATTAGTGTTTGATTAAATTTCAAAACAAAAAAACTTTTATTTAAGTAAATGATGCAGTCTTACTTCATACTTCTTAGCTTAAATCAGTGGATTGCTTATTCCACTACACAATTATCAGTATAAATCTTTTTTTAATTTCATCTCAGCAACAATAAATATTTATTTATTTTTTGGCAAATAATATCAACTCTTCATATCAGAAGCTTTTCTATATAGCAATGCAATTACTTTTCATTTCATCTTTCCAAGAATTGAAGTGACAATATTCCGGAATATCCGGATGATCAATTTGAAAAGTTCATTTATCAATAAGCCGACGATTAAAAGGATTTCGTCTGTTTCACCGAACCAAATATCCTGCTGAAAACTTTAACAATGACTGATATCTGAAACGGAATGTGCATCATCTGCCGGTATTGAATGCTTCCGTAAACGGAATATACTTTTTGCATATCAAACAATTGAATTCGAGATTGCATCATATGAGTTTTCATAGACATGCGAAAGAAATTAATTTTTTAAATATAAAATTTGCTTACCAATTTATAATATAAAATTATGAAAAAACAAAGCAGATAACTTATTTACGAAGCCATTTCAATCTTATTAATATCAACATTCAATCCAATCATTGTAAAATGGTCTCTTTTACGATTTCTTGCAATGATCAACAATTTCACCTTTGATCGACCTTGAATGATATGAATTGTAACAATATACTCATCAACCAAATCAACTTCTTCTAATCTAATTCTCTCTTATTTGTTATTTTCTCATCATCGTATTCCAATCATTTTATGATCACAAAATTTTTCAATTCGTATAGTTTATTCGTTTTTTTTTTGTAAAATTACAAAATACTTTAATTATTACCATATTTATCTATTACTTCACTTTTTTTCTTTTCTTATTCAATGATTTTTTTTCACTTTTTTTGCTTTTTTTTTTAAAGAAGTAATTTTAGTTTTTAGACTGGAAAGAAATAATAATAGGCTCTTTACTGGTTTAGTGGAACAAAAATTGAGATTGGAAGGAAATACTCCCCTCTCTTCTCTCCATAATGATTACTTTTTTAGAAAAAAAAAAACTCACTTTTATTAATAAAAGTACACGAAGAAAGGAAATTGAAGAACTGGGACAGCAATCAGAAAAAAAATGCAATTATTGGAATCACAAAAATGTTTTCAATGAAATATACTATCAGTTTATAATTTTTTTCGTTAAATTTTTAATCATTTCTTAAATTGAAATAGACATAAAATTAAAAAAAATGAAACAAATGCAATTTTTCACATTAAGAATAGTATTTAACGAAATCAAATTATTCATTTTTTCTGCAAAAAAATATATTTCATTGGATTAGAATGCATTATTTCATTTCATTGTTTTAATTATATTTGAATTAACATCATTGATTTATTTGTTCTTTTTTTTGCCGTGAATTTTAAAATATCAGTAATTGTCTGTTATTCCTTAATTAAAAGGAAATAATAAAACAACTATTAAGAATGAATTTCAGAAATGAGATTCGATAAAAGATGATATATTATTATATCGATAATTAGGAAAATTTAAATTTAAATGATATGAAATATTAAGGTTGAAATTTCCATTTGTGATCATCATTTAAATTTTATTATTCATTCACAATACTGATTCAATCGCAATATGTAAGATTATTGAATTATTTACTTTCTTTTTCTCTTTCTCTGTCTCTCTCTCCCCTCTCTGCTCATTTATTTATTCACACAACTAAAATGCGAAAGCTGAAATACTCACAAAATTTTTTGACAAACCAAATAAGCCGTAAGTAGCCAGTCAATAATCATTCATTATAAGTATGATTTGGACAGATAAACAAATGAAATGATATTCCCGAATTTGAAAAAGTTTTTCATTTCCAAATAATTACAATCAATTGATCGTTCACTATAATGAAACCTGATTGATATTTTCTTTTTTTTTTATTTCTCTTTATAATGAAATTTAATTTTTGTTTCGGTTTTATCTTTTATCATCCATTTTTTTTGCTAACAAAATCGTTTAAATTTCAATGTTTTTTAGTGCTTTTTAAAATTAATTCTTTTTAATTTCTTTTTTTTTTAAAAAAATTTCCTACATTGAAAAGTTGTTGAAAATTCTTTTCAAATAAGTAAATAAAATTAAATGAGATGATTATAATAATTCTATGGTTAACAACAATTTTCATGATCATCATCTAGCAAAATTTAACTATTAGAATCTAATGGACTAACTATATCCTGTTTCTTTTCCTTAATTAATGAAAAGATTGATTAATTAGCAAGGAGGGCAAGAAGAGAGAGAGAGAGAGAGAGAGAGAGAAAGAAAGCAGGAGGAGATAAGAATATTAACAGTTATTAATTAAATTCGTTAATGATAAAATATGCTAAGTGAAAAGTTTGCTTTGTATTGATTTTCGTGTGGGATTAAATGATCAAATATCTGGACAAAACAGACAGACAGACGGAGAGATCGAAAGATGAATATTGCTATCAGAGAAATATATTCGAAAAAAAAAGCAAAAATTATGAATCCATAATTTTATTTTGGGTATTATTATTATCCTGATCGTTAGCTTATTGATTCTTCAATTTATACATCGATGTTCACTGTCAACAAAAAAGTCAGCTGTTAAGGGCAAAAGTTTGTGCGAAATAAATCGTCATAGAATAGGAGAAACGTAGTAATCGATCAGATTAGTAAATTAGTAGTCATTGTGAACATTTGTTCATTTTACTTCCGCTTTCTTTTTCAACCAAAAATTTCAATTAATTATTTCTGGGAAAGCTTTCTGGTAAAGCTTTTTGGTAACAGTATTATTTGTCTTGTGCTTCATTGGAAATTTTTCAATTTTATCAAATCTATCACATTATCATTTCATAATCGCCTTTTAAATAAATGTAAGTAGGAGTGAGAACATTATCTGAATAATCATAATAATATGATCTATTTGACCTTTATAATAATGATATAACCTGTCCAATTAATAGAAATGCTTAATAAATGCTGCACACTTTGTTGCTAAATTCAAATGTTTATAACAAAAATTATACGATATGAATTTGTGCTGAATGTTAAAAAAAATTTCAATTTTAAAAAAATTGTGGAAATTTTTGATGAAAAAAATTAAAATGCAGAAAAAATTCATTCCACTATTTACATAGATAGCACTTTTTCATTTATTTTTAACACATATTTTATGAACAGAAAGAATTGTAAAAGCATCGATTTAATTGAACAATATAATTTTGTCATTCTTGTTTGCCAGTTTAAAGCAAAAAAAAAAAAAACAGCTTTTACAGGTTTTCCATTCTCCTCTCTCTCTCTCTCTCTCTCTCTCTCTCTCTCTCTCTCTCTCTCTCTCTCTCTCTCTCTCTCTCTTCACTTTCTCTCTCACTCCTTCTGTTTCCTTTTTTTCATCACTTTTATTAAATCACATCCATCCACATTTGTCATCATCAATAACATCAACTATTCCATCCATTACTACTGTTTATTGTTAAATTTAAATTTTGAAAAATTTTTTGTTCAAAATTTATCAAAACTTCATGCTCCATTGAGCAATGAGGAAGATGAAATGATATAAATGTTAGAATAATACTTTAAAATGAAAAGTATCACTTTCATATCGTTTCTTTTTAAAACTTCAACGCATAATTATCATCGAAGAGAAGTAAATATGAAGAGTTAATGAAACGTAAAGTAATTAACGAGAATGTTAAACGGATGGATGGAGCAGGTATGAACGATACGAAAAGGTAATTTGGTGAACCTCATAAAAACACTTCATTTTTCCGCTTTCTTTTTTTTTGATTTTCAAATTCTCTTCATATATTATTCCCTTTATATCTTTCTTACATCTTTTAAAATACTCAAAATTCATTTAATTTAACAGTAAAATTTATGATTTTTTAAGCTTCACATGTGTCTCATGCTACATTATTATGTATTCTGATATTTTGAAATGTGTAATACATAAATATTGAACCTGACATATGTAAGCATTGAGTGAAATAATTCTTAATGCAAATTTATTAATTATCGAAATTAAATAATTTGTTGATATCACTAAAACATAAATCGATATGAATGACACAACACTGAAAAAAAGTATAATTGATATGATTATCGTACATAATCGATTAAAGTATACATATTTTCCGGTTATCACGAAAATGACTTCCGGTTATAAGTGAAATAAAATTTCCTGTCTTTTTTCCATGATAAAAAGGAAGGGAAAAAACCTGATTTCAAAATTTTTATTTAACAATTATAGGTTGGCGTAGCCCAAGCGATTTACGATAATCAAGCCGAATGGCCTGACGAATTAGCGTTTGAGCGAGGCGA